AGAATTTCTAAATAAGACACAGAAAAAAAATTAGAAAGATTTCAAAATTTGACATTAAACTTTTAATGATAAAGGAAAATACAAACAAATTAAAAAGCTAATATAGGCTGTGACTAACCTCTAATATACAAATTATTCCTACCCATTGATAAGAAAAACTAACCAATGAAATAGAAATATGGAAAAACACTTGCACAATCAATTTAGAGAACAGAAAATTCTAAATGGCTAAGGAACAGACAAAATTAGTTCAGGCGTTGCTGTTGAACATGGAAATGCTATTAATAAAACAAGGTATTTTTCCTCATAATGACAAAGATTGGAAACATCTGATGCTGTCACAGAACAAGAACACAACCTCACCATATATACAAAGAGAAATTGTTGAATAAACTGGGATAGATTCATCTATAAAATACTATACAGTAATTAAAAGGATGAGATAACTTTCTGTATATTTGGAAATAAGTCTATAATATTTTTAGATAAAAAGCCTGTTTTAGAATAATAAGCATAGTATGATCTCATTTTTGTAAAAACTAAATAATCCTGCCCCTTTTCAGCAAGCAAACCCTTATAAATGTGTGTAAAAGAGAAACATTGATTGATATTAATTGGGTCCACTTATTAAGGAAATTCCTACATTATGACATGGGAGCTTTCAGGAGGCTGTGAGCAATACACTTCCTGGTATTGACATTGCTATCCCATTTACTTGTTTTCTATTATTTACAAAATTTAATATACAAGTTCTGGCTTTTATAGTAATACCATTCCCCAAGGGCACATTGATAAGCAGACGAAGCCTTAGCAGGGAGACATGGACAAGCTTGAATGTCATTAGTGCTTCTTCAATACCTATATGACTGTTTCTGAAATCTTTCAAGCAATTCATATCTAGATCTTCAGAATTTGAATCTGCAGAGAATTTTGCCCTCAAAATCATTTTATCTTATTCTGAGGTTGGGATAAACCATTTTTCAGGAAGTTTTTTAAAAGGCTATTAATCTTTGTGGCAGAATCTGGCCCATGGCCAAGTCACTTTCTATTAGTACGTTTGACACTTGGGTAGAAACATTAATTTGTTCATGCCATTAGGATGCTATTATTTAGCTCACCAGTAATGGGCTAGATGATTCTCCATGTAATGCCTATTCCCAGGGAGATTCTTAAGAAGAACAGGGTTCATTATGTTCACTGATGCTGTGATATTAGGAACCAGCAGTGAAACAGAGTAATCACAAGGATATACGCAAGTGGTATTAGAACAAAGACTTAAAGCGACATAATGCAGTAAAAAATTCACTGGGCTTTGTGGGGCTGGAGACCTGTACTCCAGACCCAGTTGAGTAACACTCTAAGGTGTGTCCCCGTCTTAGAATGAGGAACTGTTTTGATTATGGATTTTCAGCCAATGTTCCTCCAATCCTTAAAGTTCCATGAGGCTTTCTTGGGGGCACAGGTGGGAGGGGTGGCACAGAGGACTACAAAGGTAGGGCTCTGGTCTTCCTAGGCCTGATGAAACCAGAACAGCTCTGCTTCTCTGGGTTTTAGATACTAGAGTTCTACGTAATATTTGGTTTGAAATAACAAAGTTTGAAAACTTCTCCACAAGATTATTTCCTTGTTCCCAAGCAATTCTCAAACTTTTGTGGTTACAAATATGGATAGAACATGTTACAGTTGACTTTCTTTAACTCACAGTTTTCACTTTGTCAACAAGATTGTTTCCCAGAGTGTATTCTTTGGGACTCTGGTGTTAATGGAAAAAACGGGGGAGGGCTACTATGTGGATAAATACGTTTCATAAAATCTTTGCTGCAGGACTCGTCAGAGCCTTTCAAATATTTATGCACAATGTGAGTTTTAGACGGGATACATACTTCTCTATACTCCTTTGTGATTTCTCTTGTGCAACCTGATTCCTGCTGACTTCCATCTTCCCACACCTTTCCACTATGATCCCAGAAAGTTCTGTTTCATGTGGCAAATACCTCCTCATTCTTCACCTTTTCTCTTGAGTGCTCTTTCACATTTTGATTTATCTACAATCTCTTTTAGTCCAAGAACCTTAGGATAAAGATTGGGACCACTGTTCACCCAACTGCCCCATGCCACATCTGAGCATTATTACTCTATATATTGAAAAATCCCCAAGTCTGCCCCACACTGATCTTAGGGAGAACACCGTCGTAGTAGTTTATAATACTATTTACAAGCATTTGATACCCTCCCCTGGGGGCATAACTCCCGCCCCCTCATTGATGTTAGACTTGGCCATATGGCTTGTTCTGGTCAATGAAATGGGCCAGGAATGATGTATATCTTGTTTGAACAGAAGCCTTAGCAGTCAGATCATGTTTTTACCATACCCTTCCTTTCTCTCTTCTATAAAATGGGTTATATACCAGATAGATGCTTTTCTGTCAATCTGGGTCCCAGAGTGAAAATACCATGGAATGGAGCCATAGCCAGCCTACAGTGGACATGTAGCATTTGCAAGAAGCAAAAATAAATTTCTGTTGTTTAAGCCACCCAGTCTGTGGTGGCTCAAGTGAGCATGTGAATTTGAATGTGATGTGATGAACAGGAAGCTGTATGCTGTGTGCATATGGAATAGAGAAATAGTATCTAGAGAAAGAAAGCGGGGGGAAAAGCACACACAGTGAGAAGCAGAAATGAATGACCATGTGTCCAGTAAGGAGAAAGTAGCTATCTCTGTGGCTGGTGACTTACCAGTTCTGGGTTTCTGTCCCTAGATATACTTTTTTCTTTGCCTCCATGTTTCTGCCCCAGCTTGTGTGTGATGGCCCTCTTCTTCCTTTCTGTCATTCTCTAATTCCACTTCTCTCTTGCCGATCATTGTGCTAGTATTGCTGACAGAGAGACTTTGCCTTGAAAATCCTTAGAATCAGAATTCAGTCCCAACAAAGCAGTATTTCAATATATACATCACAAGTATATATATTGGAATCATATGAAAATTTTGCAGAACTGTATTCCATAAAAAAAACAGGGATCTCCAGAACTTATAACAAGCACTTCTTTCTTATTAATTGTAAAGGTCACGTTCTGTCTCCTCAAAAAAAGATATGTTGTAGTCCTAACCCCCAGCACCTCAGAATGTGGCCTTGTTTGGAAATAGGATTTTGCAAATGTAATTAGTTAAGGTGAGGTCGTACTGAAGTAGCTTGGGCCCCTAATCCAATATGATTGGGGTTCTTCTAAAAAGAATGACAGTGAAGACAATGTGAAGATACACAGGGAGAAGATGGTCACATGACAACAGAGACAAAGATTTGAGTGATGCATCTAAAAGGTAAAGAAGGATGCTGGCCAATACCAAGAGCTAGAAGAGGCAAGGAAGGATTCTCCCCTAGAGCTTGGAAAGAGAGCATAGCCCTGCTGACATCTTGATATCAGACTCTAGCCTCCAGAACTTTGAAATAGTATAATTTCTGTTGTTTCAAGCCACCCAGTTTTTGGTACTTTGTTACGGCAGCTCTAGGAAAAGAATACACCACTATTCCGGAAGGCTAGGTTCAAGAGATGACAGTCACTCCCAGAAAGCCCAGGCCTGAGCCACTGAGGGAGTACGTAGGCTCAAAGAACTTAGAGGCCAAAGTGAAGAGACATGGAAGTCCAGGTTGGTGGGGAGAGGGGGCCCGCCCCACCAGGCTCTTCCGTTCCCCTTGGTCCACAGCCGGTCCCTGCCACTTGTCCAAAAGCAGGTGAGGGGCTTTTATCCAATTCCACTTTGCTTCTCTCCTCTGTCCTTCATGCCCCCACTGTCACTACCCACTGCCACAGCCACTAGTGTCTATGTTTTTAAACAAAATTTGATTAAAAGAGTTTAGGGAAATGCTACCAAACAATTTGAAGGTAGTCAGATCATCAACATAATCAATCATCTTACATCTATATTATGGTTTCATAGAAATAATGTTCATGTTCCTTGAAGAGGGAGACAATGAACATCATTAAACATTAGGAAAAAACTGATCTTTTATCTAAAAAAAAAAAACTACACTCAGTAGTTCAAAGGAACCATGAACTTGCTTTTAATGATATGGGAGTGGTAAAACCTTCTAATTCCACTATTTTGATCACAATGGAGAGTCTTCCATTATACTGAGCTTCAGTTTCTGGGTTTGAGCAAAAAAAAAGCCCCTAAAGACAAACTTAAGGCCCTGTTGGGCTCTTCAATAACTACATTAGTCACCTAGGATGCCTACATACTAATATCTATTATGTCTGGTAAGGGGTGTAAATACTGTTGGGCTTAGGTACTTTTGAAAAAAATCTATATTTTTGAAGCCACTTCTGTTTTCTGCTCTGACTGCTTTTTGCATACATCAACACTCCAATCAGCTTATCAGTATTTGGTCCTTTCACATTTGATATTCAGGCACACAGAGCCAGCTATTTTTTCATTCGAGTGTGTGCATTCCTTTTCCATAAATTTTATGCACACTCCTAGAAGGAGCCAATGTGTATGCTGCTAAATTATGGTCATGGAAAAAGATATTGTAGTTTTTGAAAATCAACTAACTTCACAAAATTCTAATCAATAATAAAGGTACAAGCTGTATTTATACTTATTAGACCACTCAAAATAATAGATACAGCTGCTTCCACTCCTGCACTTCTCCATTTATATCATCAAACCATTTTTCCTCGAGCCTGAGACTCTTTCTTCCTAATCTGGGGTTTTGATGGCTGTTGACATCGTTGCCTGTATCTTGCTGCCCTACTCTTGCTATGCAACATAACACAGGGCAAGGGTTCTGGGGAAAGTAACAAATAATCATCATTCAACTATGAGACACTGTTATCTAGAAAATTCTATATTCTATACTAAAACTAATTACAAACATCCACCTCATCACTAAAATGAATTCAGAGACCATTTGTATAAAATTAAAGATTGGAATAGATCAGGTGAATGTTATAAGAGAGTATGTTTTACAAACTGCCTCAAAGATGCTTTCCTCATGCAGATTACAAGATTGACCTAGAGACAAGATATAATAAGGATGAGGAACTTCTCCTGAACAGATAGATGTCTGCTCAAAGTCTCCTTCTTCCAAAAACAGAGCGCTGGTAAGTTCTGCCCTGATAATCACTTTGCCTAAAAGTGGGTGGTGGAAGGAATGAAGGGAACTACTAACTTGGACCAATTCTAAAGAATAAGGAAGAAATTATAATGATGTGGAAATGATAGAAATCTGAGTATTATCAACATGGAGAGCATCAGAAAGAAGGAGGGAAAGCTGAGAAATAATTATACATATACTTTAGACTATGGAAAGGCAGTTTTAAAAAAACACAGTAAAAAAAGCCAAATGGCCAGGGAAAAAAGGTTTCTATAAACATAATTCTTTCTCTTCAACCGGGAATGTTTCTGATGCAAAAAAAGTTTTAAAATGTACTTGATGATATAAGAAGCCAATTGTGTTTGTAAGATTTGTATAGATTATATACAGAAGTTATTGCCCTTATAATCAGTCTTTGAATTCTAGGAAGCTTAGACATAGATTAGTACACGATTGAAGTAGCTAAACTCCTTAGCTTAAGTGTTTTGATTTGTTGTTAAAGTATCCTGCCCGGGCTTCCCTTGTGGCGCAGTGGTTGAGAGTCCGCCTACTGATGCAGGGGACACGGGTTCGTGCCCCGGTCCAGGAAGATCCCACATGCCACGGAGCGGCTGGGCCCGTGAGCCATGGCCACTGAGCCTGAGCATCTGGAGCCTGTGTTCCGCAAAGGGAGAGGTCACAACAGTGAGAGGCCCATGTACTGCAAAAAAAAAAAAAAAAAATCCTGCCCATTTTTTCTTCCGTCTATGAGAGAGTAAGATTTTGGAATTACTTTTCCATCATAAACAACTAGAAAAATGGATGAAGTATAGGAAATAATTATTCTTCAACATTAGACAAAAGGCAACAGAGGACTTTCTCCCTGAGAAAAGAGAAATAGAAGATGTGAGCCCTCCCATTGCCTAGGGTTTCTCTTCTGGGATAATTCTTGGATTGTGACACGGAAGAGTTTGGCAATCTTCTTGAATTAAGGAGACAGAGATTAGATTTCTGGCAACTAGAAATTTGCAGCACCAAGTACTAGAGAGAACAGAGCTACACAGAGAAAGAACTCCAGAAACTTGTATAGGGGTTCCTTCATGTTTTGACAAAATACCAATCTACAAATGCATATGACAAGAATCCATGAAACCAGAAAAGAACAACTTCTGAGGAAGGAACAGTTACTGAGGAGTTGTAAGATGAATAGTCCCCAGGCTCACACATTAATTATTAGAGTTTCTCCCAGCCAAACTGGCAAGACTTCAATTAGTACAAAGGGCATTCAGTAGAGAGCCCAAGATGGATACACCTTAGAAATGGGACTAAATTAGCTACCAAAAAAAAAAGAAAAAAAAAAGGCTCTTCTCGACCAACCCTATAAAGACTTTTTTTTTTTTTTTTTGCATTACACGGGCCTCTCACTGTTGTGGCCTCTCCCATTGTGGAGCACAGGCTCCGGACATGCAGGCTGAGCGGCCATGGCTCATGGGCCCAGCCGCTCCGTGGCATGTGGGATCCTCCCGGACCGGGGCACGAACCCGTGTACCCTGCTTCGGCAGGCGGACTCTCAACCACTGCGCCACCAGGGAAGCCCTATAAAGGCTTTTAAAAAACCTAAAAAAGGATCAACCCTTCCAGTAACTTACTTATTAGCAGAAAATGTTCAACATTTTAAAAAAAGGAATACAACATTTGGCCCAAAACAATGTAAAATTCACAATGTTCAGTACCCACTCAAAAATTACTAAGGAATAAGACAAGGATGCTTATATTTAACATAGTATTTAACAGGGCAACTAGGCAGAAAAAGAAAATTCATCCAAATTGGGAAGGAAGAAGTAAAACTGTCACTATTAGCATGACATGATATTATATATAAAAAATTCCTAAAGGCTCTACCAAAAACTGTTATAACTAATAAACAAATTCAGTAAAGTTACAGAATACAAAATTGACATACAAAAACCTGTTGCATTTTTATACACTAATAACAAACTACCAAAAAGAGAAATTAAGAAAACATCTCATTTACAATTACATCAAAAAGAATAAAATACCTAGAAATAAATTTAACCAAGGAGGTGAAAGACCTGTACACTGAAAACTATAACAAGTAGACAAAATAAGTTAAAGAAGACACAAATAAATTGAAAGATATTCCATGCTCATAAATGGAAATAATTAATATTGTTAAAATGTCCATACTACCCAAAGCAATTTACAGATTGAATGAAATCCCAATCAAAATTCCAATGGAATTTTTTACAGAAATAAAACAATTCTGAAATATGAATGGAACTACAAAAGGCCCTAAATAGCCAAAGCAATCTTGAGAAAGAACAAAGCTGGAGGCATCATGCTCCCTGACTTCAAATTATATTACAAAGCTGTAATAATCAAAACAGTGTGGTATTGGCATTAAAAACAGGCATAGATCAAAGGAACAGAACAGAGGGCCCAGAAATAAACCCACACATATGTGGTCAATTAGTTTACAACAAAGAAGCCAGGAATATACAATGGGGAAATGAGAGTTTTTTTCAATAAATGGTTTTGGAAAAACTGAATAGCCACATGCAGAAAAATGAAATTCAACCACTATCTTATACCATACATAAAAATTAAGCCAAGATGGATTAAAGACTTGAACATAAGACCTGAAACCATAAAACTCCTAAAATGAAACATAGGTGATAAGCTTCTTGAAATAGATCTTGGCAAAGATTTTTTGGATTTGACATCAAAAGCAAAGGCAACAAAAGCACAAGTAAACAAATGAGACTACATCAAACTTAAAAGCTTCTTTACAACAAAGGAAACCATCAACAAAATGAAAAGGCAACCTACTGAATGGGAGAAAATATTTGCAAGTCATATATCTCATAAGAGTTTAATATCCAAAATATATAAATAACTCATACACTCAATAGCAGAAAGCCCCAAAAATATGATTTAAAAATGGGCAGAGGATCTAAGTAGACATTTTTCCAAAGAAGACATACAGATGGCCAACAGGTACACAAAAAGTGCTCAGCATCACTAATCATCAGGGAAATAAATACAAGTCAAAACCACAATGGCTAACACCTCACACCTGTTAGAATGACTATTATCAAAAAGAAAGAAATGAGATTCAAAATGGCAGAGGAGTAGGTGGACATGGAGTTCATCTCTCTCCATGGATGCATCAGGAATGCATCTACAGATGCAACAGTTCTCACAGAACACCGGCTGAAAATTAACTGAAGACCTTGGACACCAGAAAGGACTATAAAGATCCCTGCTTAACTGGGTAGGATGGAAAAAAAGAAGGGAGAAGGAGGAGGAGAGGAAGCAGGATGGGACCTGCACCCAGGGGCAGGGGAGCTGAAGCAGAGGAGAGATTCCCAAATTCAGGGAAATCCCCTCTCCAACGGGGAAACCCCCTCTCCGATGGGGAAATTGACTGGGACAGAAGGGAAACATCTGAGGCTGTTGGAAGAGGGTGAAGCAGCTGATCTATGGCAGATGACCAGAGTGAGAAATACACAGATGGTCCATACCGAGACCCTACATGCCTTGGACTGGAACATGTGTTCACAGGTGTGCAAGGGGGCTGGGAGCTGGTGCATGGGGATTGGAGAAAAGGCCCAGAGCAAGAACTGCTGTTGGCTTTGGGGAGATGGACTTAGGGGACGGGAGGGAGGAAATCTGCAGCAAGGAATGCCTATGGAGGAAGATGGGGCTGCCGTGGAAGCAAGGCGCTACTGCTGAGTCACACGTGGGGGGAGAAGCCACTATTGTAGCCTCTCTCTCCCCATACACTGGTGCCTGCCAACGACAATAAAAGAAGCCTGCTGTGGGCTGGCTCTTGTGTGCTGGCTGCCAAACAATAAGAAAATCCCCCTCAGAGCTGACTCTCACACGCTGGCTGCAGGGCAATTTAAAAAAAAAGCCATCTCAGGGTTGGCCCTCGCACACCTGCTGCCGAGTGCCAGAAAAACCCTGGCCAGGGCTGGCCCTCACATGCCTTACACTGGGCGTCAGAAAAGACCTCACTAGGGCCGTATCTCTGGCACCCATGACCGCCTGCTTCCCTGTGCATTTGCCACTGCTGGGGCTCCTGCGATCCAAGCAGTCAGACCACCTCTGCACCCGGTCCTCACAGGGGCAGACCCAAGAGCTCCAAGGCAGCCTCAGGACCAGACTCCTCTAGGTGGACCACACACAGAGGTGGGAATAAAACCAAAGCTGAACTCCCGGGACAGGGTGACTAAGGAAGAAGATCAAAAATCTTTCCACCAGCTGTAGAAGCAGCAGATTAAATCCCCACAATCAGCTAGGTAGACCCTGTGTCTATGGACTATCTGAGTAGACAATGAGTGTTCCCACAAATGAAAACGGTCTAGCTCTGGCAGCTGTGGACTCTGGGGGCAGCACATGCAGGGATTGGGCCAGATTAGAGTCTAAGTGATCCCCACAGTGCCCACGGCAGGTCCAGAGACCAGCCCAGAGGCAGAGGAGAGCCTCTTGGGGAGGCGGAGGTGGGCTGTGGCTCATGGCATGTGCGAGGACACTTACAGCAGAGACCCCAGGGAAACATAATTATTACTGTTAATTTTATTATGTTTTGATTCATTCTGTTGTTAGTTCTAGCTTTTTTTTTCTGGTTTCTTTTTCTTTTTTTGTTTTTTTTTTTAAGTCTTTTGGGATCTCCATGTTTTATAACTTTTTTTCACATATTTCTACTTTTACTTTGCTTTTCTGTCATTCTGCATTCTTTTCCCTCATTTTTTTCATCCTCTTTTTCTTTAATATATTTTTCTCTTTTTTTAATATTTCCATTTCTACTTTGCTTTTCTGTTGTCCTGTGTTTTTTCCCTTTTATTTTATTATTATTTTATTCATTTTTATCAGTTTGTTCTGTTTCCTTGCTTTATTCTTCAGTTGGCACACTGCTTTGGTTTTGTTTTTAGGTTATGTGTTTTTGTTAGTTTTAATCCTAAATGTTTGATTTCATTTTTGAGTTCTCCTATTTCTCTGGTT